TGGGCTTTGGGCAAACTAAAAAAATAATGGGGTTCTAAGCCTTTTATGTTAAAAATCAATATTTCACTATGAAACTCGGTCTTTCTATTATTTGGCTCCAAATTATAAATATCCCTCGTGAGGGCAATTTGACTGCTAATTTCAGGATAAATTCCATCGATAAACTTCAAATAGCGTTTGCTAGTTAAAGTGCTATTCAAGCGAAACCCAATTGGAGCAAAAAAAACAATGGGTATCTCTTTGCCAAATAATTCCATGAGTTTATCGAATCAAACTTCGGGGGCAAGTTTGCTTTTATTGCCATTAAAAGGAGGATTACAAAGGATTAATTCAGGAGTTAAAGCATAAGGGGAAGTTCAATTATGTAAAAAATCATGATCAGCATCCGTGAATCCTTGGCGAAGTAAACTAGTATCGATGTCGTTGCCATAAGTTTGATAACCAGCTTTTTTTCAAGGCTTTAATAAAGAACCTTGCCCAGAACAAGGGTCAAAGATGAGGCTTTTTTTGGAGAAAAGTGGGCTCAGTAGATTAAACAAGAATTCACTAACTGCTGACGGGGTATAGATGGTGGAATTCTTGGGCTTTAAGTGCCAATTATTAAGATTTATTTTATACATGGCTTTCCTCCAGTGGACTTAACTCTTGCCAGTAATGTAAAATAAAGCCTTTTTTCACTTTTTTTCCGGCTAGTAAATAACGCTTATCAACATAGTGACTATGAGTAATGGCTCGAAAGAGAGCTGGTTTGACGATGTTTTCATAGACAAAAAAAGCGTGTTTTTCTTGGTCTTCAGTTAAGACTTTGAGTTTATAATAAGCTTGACCATAGAAAGGGCTTTTTTTGTCATAAACTTTCTTGGGCTCTTTATGGATGATTTTGCCGAGGAGTTCGGTGAGCATTATAATTGTTCCTCCTCACAAGTAGAGCAGAGTTTATCGCGCTCTCAAAATTTAAATCAAGATTTTCAGCCGAGTCATTGCCCACAGCGAGAGCAGTAATTGTATTTAGTCATTTTCTACCTCCCGCAAAATATTCCGCAAACTGCGGCAGTCATCTTTTAAACTGTCTCGGGATAGAGCATCAGTTAAGCCTCCTTTCGCCAAAATAGTCTTTAAATGTTTCTCTAAACTATAGGTTTTTTGGATAATTTGGCGATTATTTAAAGGCTTAGGGAGAGCTTCTTCCTCTTTAGCGTTATGGAGAATTGCTTCAATGCATCAATAGGCTAAGCGGAGAGAATGATCTCCCTGGCGATTTAGTTTAAAGTATAAGGGGCGTAATTCGATTTGACTTATGACGGCTTTAATTTGGTTGATTAGACAGGTTGGATGGTGGTTAATTTTAGTCATTTAAACCTCCTCAATTAAAGTATTCTTTGGGTTTGGTGCCTTTTTTGATTTGCTTGCTTTGGCAGGTATGGCAAGTATAGATGAAATAGTTGTTGCCGTGTAAGTGGAAGCTGTCATCAATTCAAGCTAAACCACAAGAGTTGGTTGGTTTTTTAGGTTGGAGGGCTAAAAAGCTGAAAAGGGTTGGGTTTAAGTTAAGATTATTCATGTTGCCTCCTCGCTTCTTTTTCAAACTTACCGGTTTTCAAGTCAACCGAATAAAGATAGTCGTTATCTTGATAAAAAAGACTAGTGCAGCCGTCAGCATCACAAATAACCCCAGTGCCAGCTCCTAAATCGTGCCAATCACTTTTAATTTCTCCGTCTTGGATCCGGATGCTTAAATCTTTGAGCAAGCATAATATTTTATCTTTTTCAATTCTTTTTTTGGCTTCATTAAGGATTTCTTGGTCGGTGAAATTGGTTAGTTGGTTATTCATTTTGTCCTCCTTGGGCTTGGCTGGCTGGCTCTTGGTTAATTACTCGGTAATGAGCTTCAATTATTTCGTGTAAGAAAGCTCTTAATTGGGCTTTTTCTCTTT